TTGTCCCATCCCAACAAATTTTCTTGGAAAAAATTTATTTCAAGAATGAGAAGAGATTAATTAATTTAAAGTTAAGTAAAATATCAGTTGAGAATATCCATGTTAAATTCTCCCATTTGATTCCGCTTGATGGAGTTACATTGTACAAAGAAAAATCATGTTTAGATTTTATAAATAATGACGTTTATTATCCATGTTCGATTTGTTGAGTATGATTTCACGATCACTTCTGGGTATTCATTACGCTCCCCAAGGTGGCCCATCTACCTACTTGAGGACGTGTACACTTGATTCCCCATGTTGTCCTTTTAGCCACCGATACTAACGGCCCAGCCCCTTAACCTTTCTTGGGGTTACGCAAGGAGCCTTCTTTGTGATTTTTTAATGAAGTCCTAATATATGAGTTCATTTGTGTCCTAACCACACTAGGAGTTTTTTACTATCGCAAGTCCAATCTTTGGGCGGTCAACCTAGTATTCTACAAGAATTCTAATTTTTTGAAATTTTATCTCCTATGTTGTATATATAGTAGCATTTTGAAAAAAAGTAAAGCGTGACAAGACGTGGATGCCAAGTTTTGGGCTAGGTGAGCCTAAGCATTAAAAAAAAAAAGAATTTTCCTATTTTAATATTAATATAAATTTTTAATCAATCTAAAAATCATTTAATAATTAAAATAATGCTCGCCAAACATATAAGATTATAAACTAATATATTGAAAAAAGATAAAAAGAATAAGAAAAAGGCCAAAAGATAAACAAGAAAAAATAATAATAAAAAGCGCAAAAAATTAAGAGGCGGGACGTTTATGCCTCACTTCACATTTAGGCACTGTTTTAGAACACTGATAAATAGTATATATAGTAAGCACTTATTCATTATCCAAGTAAATTTTCATTGTTTAGATACAATTTCATTTTCATATTATAATCTATTCAATTTCATGTTAATTGGTCAAAGTCATCAATATAGATCAGAATGATACCACCAAATGTTCATGTCAAAGAGTGTATCTAACTTTGAGTCATGAAAACACTTTAAACCATCAAATCAAGTGCAGGGGCTTCTTTTAGTTCATAGAGAGCCTCTCTTATGCGGCACACATGGTTTCACTTCTTTGGATCATCATTTTGAAGATATTGAAAGAATAATCAATGGCAAATTTCCATTTTCTATGAGATATGATATGAGGATAAAAATTTTGATAGGACGATCACACCATCCTACGTGATTCAACTGTCGAGTAAGGAGCCACCATCTTATCGGGTGGCCCACCCTCGCCCAATAAGGTGAGGTCACCTTAGGACTTGAGTGGATATGAGAGATGGAGTAGGTTCAACGGGTCTATGGTCAACATAGATAAGATGACTATTAACACTGTATACTTTTAGTTTAAAAGTGCTTACTTAGGATCGGGTGATCGCGTAATGACTGGTTAGGTAGCTGATGGTAAAGTTGGTCGTGTATTCTTTAGATCGGGTGCATTCTGATTTTCAGAAAGTTTTTGTTAGGAACTAGAAGGCAATGAAGGGCTATAAGGTGACTATTGATGTTTTGGTCCATTACCGTGCTTACGGGTTTTGTCCATTAACTTGTGAAAACGCGTTTGTGGAATGCGACTTTGCCTCTTAAGTTTCGGTTGATATTGGCCTTACATGTGGTCATGTTGTAACAATTGAATCAGATATTTTGATAGACTATAAAAGGCTCCCAATCATCTTTTTACAAGCCAATATTGTTTGAACCACTAAATAAGTCTAGAATGATTCAATAAGGTGGAGATTGTTAGTATTATTAGGCTGCTTCACTATTTTTGTTGTTGGGTTGCCTCCTCCTTCTGTTATTGGCTTGAGGTTTTTCTCCATTACTGTACTTAGGGGTTCTGGTCCATTAATTTGTAAAAATGTTTTGTGGAATACGACTTTGCCTTTTAAGTTTCGGTTGATCGTGACCTTACTTGTGGCCATGTTGTGACCATTGGATCTGATATTTGATGGACCATATAAGGCTTCAGTCGTCGTGTGATTTCTAAGGTTTTGTGGTTATATCTCTCTCTCCCCATGATGTTGCGTCTTCTTATTCTTTGTGAAATAATCTCTTTGTGATTTTTTAGTGAGATGTCCGTTGTTGTATTTAGTGTACAAAAGAGAATTTTTGAAGAGATTGTTGTGGTGTAATCTTTAGAGAGACGAGAGAAAATCTCAATGAAGAGATTTCTTCACACATTTGATCTGCACTATTCTTAATGATTTTAGTGGTTACGAGCAAAATTTATTTGCTATATGCTCAACATGGTGAGTAGGTCTTTGACTGAACATTTGGCCCTAAGAGGAGAAAAATCTTTATGTTCTTCCAATTTTCTGCGATCTTAAGTTACTGCAAACTTTTTAAATTTTAAACTTTGATTCTGAGACCAACAGCAACTTTATCTTTTCTCCTAGAACTAATTGCTATGTTTGTCTTCTGTGTCATTCGTGAAGATAACTTAGGATGTAACACGAATAATTTAGACACCATAGTGTGAAAAAGGCTATGACTCAGAATGGTAGTGATATAGAAAAATATAACATATGAAATATTACATTTTTATGATGTAAACTCTTTCCGAAGGATGAAGACATTTATACCCTTTGTAACTTGGACTACAATCAATGAAGATACACAATTGAGTGAATGAAGTTAAAATTTGTATGAATTGTAGGGTCTAAAGGAAAACAAGCACGCCAAATGTTCTAAAAAGGTAGTCAAGGATGTCACGATTATTTATTTATTTATTTTGTGAGATGTTAGCGAATGTGTGTATGTGGATGTCATAACCTCGACGTCTAATTTCAAAAGTTTTTATATGTACAATTTAAGGGAACATAAAATACTTCAAGGATGGATAAATTGGGAGCAACAAAAAATTATACGAGGAAAGGACTTTCAATGATGTAAGACCCCAACCAAAGCATACACTGCCAAACCTTTCCGTGCTCTTTTGCTTGCTTGGTTATGTTTTTAAGTGATTATTAACAATATTTCATTGAACGTGTGATTAAGAAATAAAAAGTAATAAATACTTAAAAATGTATAGATAAATATTAAGAGCCTGTTTGGGGCTCATTATTGGTCCAAAAAAATGAAAAATCTTATCGTTGGAGCGCACAAATTCAAGGCATTGTGAGAGAGAAGTTAACAGGTGAGACCCTTCAACAGTAAAAATTCTTCTAATAATGTAGAAATAATGTGCATTAAACATCCTCTAAGTTTGACCAACTTATAGGTCATTATAAGCTTTGCCAACCAACAAAGTTAACAGTATCAAGATAATTGTTGCTTTAATTTGTTAGGATTAGTGTGATCTTTGGAGTAATATGACTGGCACAAGAATTCTCCATTAACCAAATTTCTTCCAATCTTTTTCATATCTTTTCTATATTATTTTTACTTAATTGTCCACCGTTTAAGAGAACTTTTATAAAAATAAATTATAAACCTAAATATAGTTTGTGTAAAAATGAATATGAAAATTATAAATTTTCTTAATTTGATTACCTTTGATTTAGCCCTGTTGCCTCTTTTAAAACTCTTCAATTTTTATCTACTATTTTCAATCACACAATTTTCAATAAAATAATATTACACACAAATTCAAAATTTTTCATTATTTTACAACCATCCATTATTCAAAAAAACACTATTTTTCCTATTATAAACCCAAATAATTAGTGCCAAACGGTGGCTTGATAATATATTTTCTTCACTATTTTTCCCTTTCTGGTACCTTTCGCAAAACTGCATCACAACCTCCCTAATTTTTTTTCATGCAATTACTTCAATATTATTTCTTGTTTAATGTGCCCACACATATTAATGTGGTTGTTGAATTGAATAGACTACCGTATGAACCGGATGAATTAGCATTGCAGAAAACCACCTTATCAGTCCCACGTTCTCTTTGCCTATTTACGCAAATCTACTCACGAAGTGCCTGTCACTCTGCAATCAACATACTGCGAAAACCTCTCTACACATTCTCTCTCTAAAAGATTCAAAACTGTAGAAATGTCTGCACGGGGGAGAGGACGCAGGGGAGGCGCTGGAGCCGGTCGCGGCCAGCAGCCGACGCCATCATCCGGACGTGGCGGCGGCTGTCACGGACGCGGTCCTTATGGAGCTTGCAACGCTCCGCCTTCGACGGTGTACTCCTCTACCGTCCAGTACAATCCTGCTCTATCATCCTCGGCGTTGAGCGACGAGGTCGAGCGGAAACTCACTCTAGACACGTCTGTTTCGTCCTCTTCTCAGCCGGAGCAACCGGCTTCAGTGGCTGTGTTGGAACAGGCCGAGCAGCATCGGCCACCACCGGTATCTTCGAAGGGCATGAGGTTTCCGGTGAGACCAGGTTTTGGCACAGTTGGAAGGAAGGTGATAGTGAAAGCGAATCACTTTCTAGTTCAAGTGGCTGAGAGAGATCTGACGCAATACGATGTGAGGATGTGTTTTTAGCTCTCATTAATTTCTTCTGTGTGGATATATGATGTCTGATATGTGCGTAGTGTGCAATGCTATATGTCTGTGTTATTTGCCTGACTTTATATATTCTATGAATGTTCGGATGTATGAATCCTGTGTATGCATTTATCTTCGTTATAATAAACAATACGTGTATTATTAATATAAACGGTTTTTCAATGTATAGGCTCCTTTTATTTGGGAGCGCGTCTTGTATATATATCTGCACTTGTTTATATATATATATATATATATATATA